ATTCAAGTACAATAATATTCTAGGATCATTTTTGACTTAGTGATGCTACAAGCCAAAGTTATATTAGACCCAATGCTCAAACGTCCCTGGGTTGGTAAGTGCAGAAATGGTGTTGCTCAGGTTGGCTGTACCACAGAATGGAGTAGAGTCCAATAGCACACACAGATTTAGTGAAATCTATCCTCTGCTTGCTGTGAGAACAGAATATAATAGACGAGAATGAATGGGAGCTGCATTTTGAAACATACTTTCAGCAAGTAAGTCATACATTTGCTTTTCCTGGAACTTGTAACATTTTTCAGACTTGTATATCTTCATATTTTCACGCTGACAGAGAAACTTCCAATCTGGAAATTTTTATATAAATGACATTCACCTGGCCTGTGAAAGTGACAGCTGACACAGAGATGGGTGAAAATTCTGAGCTTCAGTGGAGGTGGAGATGATTAGCTTTACAGGATGCGGTACATGTGGGCGTATAGACTGCTCTCCCGTACAGCTATTGTGGAGCTGTAATTTAAAATAATGGTCTGCTGCATCTGGAGTATGCTTTCATCTATTCTTTGCTGCATAAAGCTTTGGCAGGAAGCGGTGATGCAGGACAATTCGGGTCCCTTGCCAAGCAATATCACAGAGAATACCTTTCTCTGGGGATTAAAGGCTGAACATTACTGGCTGCAGAACGAGGTGATTTTAAAGGTTACAAATTTAGAACACATGTTGGAATTTGATTTTTAAGCAATCCAATTGATCTTTTGCCTGCAAGAGTTGCTTTTCTTCTTGTAAATCCCAACCATGCCACAGAGACAGTTATCAAAACACTTTATTTATAAGAAAGATCTTTTCCATCACATTGATCTTTTGCAATTGCTGCATGTAATTTTTCTATTTTTTTGACAATGTAACAAGAAGTTAATCTTTTCAGCAAGAGATTGAGTGTTACCTGACAGTCTAGAGATTTTTCTTTCCTATTCATTATTCTAATTTATTTCTGAATAATCTGACTCTTCAAATAAATAGTGTCTTAATTATCATTAAAAGTATGTATCTCTTATGTTGCAACTCTTGCAATAAATTCTCCAGATAAAACAGCTCCTGGTTTATAGTGTGTTATTGGACTTTGCACCAAAAGATCTGCCACACCTTCTCTAGTAAAGTCTAGCTGTGATTAGGAAAACCTTTGTAGCCCTTGCATATATCCCTTATGTAGAAGGAAGCCTGCACTCATTGTCTAAGTGAAAGATTCTCCCTTTGAACTCTCACCTTGGAGTATTCTCCTCCCAGCCAGATATTCCAAACTTCCAAGCCACTTACTGAAATCTGGGAGCATACTACTCCAAGTGCTTTTTGCCAAACTACTTCCCATTGGAATCCTCAGTTACAATTCACTGGGCTAAATTTTACCAGAAATTGACTAAATGTCAAATTTTCTAAGTTTCGTGGGGGGTTTCTCTCTGCAACGTCTTACGAATTCTCTCGTGCTATCTTCCTGAACTTGCTTCATCACCTACGCTCAATGCTGTGTTGGTGCCCTGCTTGTATTTTCCCACTCATGGAAATACTGGTCACTGCTGGCACCTCAACAAGATTTCTGGCGCAAGTGCCATCTTTAAAGACCAGCTGTGTACCTGGTTAAGTGCTGGTGTTCTGTTGCTGCCTCACACAATTCCCAACAATTGCCCCAAATGTGTTGGGGCAGACAGAAATTGTCACCTTTCTTTGTAGACAGGGATGTGGACATCCTGGTGGATGGAGTGAGTGGTACAGAATTGGGGGGGGTGGGGGGGTGTGGTGGGGAGGTGTGTGGAGCGAATGTTCTGTATGGTTTCTGCCAGTGGAGCATGCCCTGAGATGTTGGCGACTGACGGAGATCCAGAGGAGCAAGTCGAGAACTGGAGTCACTGGGTTTACCACTCTGCCTTTCGCATTGGGAACTGTCAGCACCTAGTTTCTCTGCGGCAGTTGGGAAAAATGGGAAACTGCATATCAATGAGGTGGGATGATGTAATAATGAGATGCTATTTCAGCTCTGCCCCAACAAAGAGCAAACTTTCCATTGTGAATCATGAAGTATTTATATTTACAGCAGAAATCACACCCCCAACCAAACACATCGTTACAACCAATCATGTAACAACCCTCCTCACATCTGCCATTATTTTCCTTAACACCACAATCACGTCTGAAAATTATGGAACCAGGAATGTCGCGTTATTTTCTGGTCCCAGTTGCCCAGCTTTTCCTTGCTCACTTGTTAATTGACTCCATCGATCTGAGATGGATTCAAACTGCATTCATAGAGCTGAAGGACACTTCCACTGCCCCATCAATCCCTGCAAAAAATATTGACCTCATCTTGCAATATTCACCCAGACCCTCTGCCAGATCATCATCCATTGTGTCACATGCTACAAGAGAGTAAGTTTTAAAATTTCTTATTGTTGTTTTTTCTTGGTTGTCCTAATGGTGAGTCATCATCTTGAATATGGGACAACTGAGTGGCTTTCTAGGTCAGTTCACAGTGTAGTTGTGAGTCAAATTATATAGATATTTCTAATTGACCTGTTCAGAGATGTTATAACACACCCCTGGAGCAAATGGGACTTGAACCTGGACCATCTGGCTCAGAAGTGGGGACACTACCACTGTATCAGACAAGTTCCTCAGAGTCAACTTATATAATTGCTAAGCTACGACCTGCATCAGCAGTGTCAATTTCTAAACTTTACCTTACACAATGAAACAATTGACTGAAGTTCGATTTAAGTAGCTGGTTGTGTTTTGATATCCCATTTCACACTCGTTACCTAAACAATTGGAAATGATACAGAACCCAAACTACATCACAGCACTAGCTAAAACAGATCACTTAACTACATGATACTAGATTGAACTTACTGCACAATGATATAGGCCATATCTGGAGATTGATAGATTGAGTGGAATGTGCCTTTCTCTTTGGAGTTTAGCACTATAAGAGGGCACCTCACTGAAACATGGAAAATTGTTAATTGGGCTTGAGAGAATAATTGCTGAAAAGGTACTTTCACCCGGCTGGGGATTGTTGACCTATGGGTCATAATCTCAGTATAAAAGGTCAGCTATTTGGGACTCAGATAAGGAGAAACTTCTTCACTTAGTGGTGCTTATGAATCTTTGGAATTTTCTTCCAGGCTGGTTGTGGTGCTTACTATAGTCAAGTTTGAGTTCAGTATATTTTTAGGCATGAGGGAAAAGAGCAGAAAGGTAGAATTGATATAGAATACCCATTATTTTGTTGAGTGTCACAGGAGAGGTATGGGATATAGAGCCTACCTCTACTCTTAGTGCCCATAATCTTATAAGGAGGATGAAATAGACCACACAGCGCTAAAAGATCTGGTTTCTTCCAAAACCACTGGACATTGTTGTCCATCTGCAAACAGGAATGTATATTTTATCACTCATCATCAAATGCGCACATCTAACTCACCCAGACCTCAAAAAGATAATGGCAATCTCTCATGGGGTCAAATTGATGTTTTTTGAAGGATTTTGGGGGACAGAAAGATATAAGCGTAATGAATGTGTTCCCTGTATTAGACCGTATTCTGCAATACAGAAATACAACTGGTTTGAATTAGTTACTTTATTATTTCTAACCAAACACTGATATTAAATGCACAAAGAATTGAACAGAGAATAAGGCTTTAGAAAATTAGCTAGGAAAATATTGGCAATGCTTTATTCATAAGCTCAGTGGTCAGCTTTCCAGCAAATTATTTCAGCTTCTCTGATAGACTATATCCACAATAATTGTCAGGTTCAAAGTATCCAGAAAGAGGTATGCAGTTGCATCCCTGTCAATGATGTGTTAAGTAATAGACAACTTCTGTTATTTTGTACAAAAGTTTAATCCATTCTTAGCTATTTATTGTTATGTAGTGTAAACATCCAGACTGGGGAGTGGCGAACTATGAGCTGAAATTTCCCCTCTAACCAGTGTCAAATTAGCAGTCTGTTACCACAACTATGAGAGGCAAAAGCAACATATTGCAGCAGTGACATGAATTGTAACATATTGCTAGATTGCAGAGTATACCTCCCTTCAGCAGAAGCAAATATCCAGATTAATACTGACGTAAATGGGAAAATAAAGAAAGACTTGCATTTTTTTAAAGTTGTTTTCATGGCCACTAGACATCTCAAAGCACTTGCAGCCAATAAAGTAGATTTTGAAGTGAAGCGACTGTTACTGTAGGAAAGTCAGCAGCTAATTTACACACAGCAAATCCCCACAACATCAAGGTGATATTAACCATCATTTTTTTTGAAAAGTTGATTGATGGGAAATATTGGTCAGGACAACAGGGATAACTCCCTCGCTCTTCTAAAAACAAAAGATGGAAGGGATCTTTAACATCCACCCAAGCCAAAAGATAGGGCTTCTATTTAAAAGCACAGATAGCACCTCTGCCAGCGCAGTGCTTCCTCAGTTCTGCGCTGAGCTTTGAGTTTTGTGTTCAGGCCATGGAGTGGGATTTGAACCAAGAGTGCTGTGACTCACATACACGTGTGCTACCTTATTAGTCATGGCAGAAATGCTTTATACAAGGATGGCGCTGAAATGTTGCAATGCTTAAACCGTGTGAAAGCAACTCTCAGAGACTGACATTGTAACATATTTATAAAATTTGTGGACGCAGCTAAACTCGTCACACTTGTGGCCTGATCACTTTTCTACTTTATTCTTTAAAAAAATGTAACCTACTTTTCCCAATCAACTGTTGAGGGATGTAATTGCACACTAATGGAGCAGATGGGACTTGAACCTGGGTTTCTCGGTCCAGTGGTAGGAACACTACAACTGCATCACAAGAGTCCCTCAGTTTGTTTGATTTAGAAGTGCAAGGTTTCAATGGCAGCCACTACTCATTCCTCACTAAATATTCAGCCAACATCACTTTGTGAAAATGTAAATAGTGTGACTGTAACTGCTAGGTCAAACAACAGCTGCTTACCTTTCCCAGAAAATCATTCTTTCCCACCATGTCCCAGTCCCAGACTTCCACAGTGAACATCATTCCTTCTGTTGGCAAGTCATCCTCCAGTTCAAACTCAAACACTTCATTCCAGTGAGGAAAACGAGTCTTCTTTATAGTCTAGTATTTACAAAGAGTTATCAAGACTTAGAATAAATATTAGAAATGAATTATCTAAAGAAAATGATGTATAGTTTATGCAGAAGTTGTATTATTATAATAGGTTCAATCTTATGAAAGAGTAAGTAAAGAACGTAAACATAAAAAACATAATGGTCACGATGAAGCTAACGGATGGCTTAAGAAGCCCCTTCACAAATGTCCTTTAGAGAACGATATCTGCCCTCCTTACTCTGTCTGATCTGTGTGTGTTTCCATGTCCAAAGTAATATGCTTGACTTGTACTGTATGCTTAAATTGCCTAGGAGACCATGCATATATATCAGGAGTGCTACAAAAAACTAGCTAAAAAATGCCTACCAGACACTAAAGTCAGAAGCGACAGAAATATACACTTAAATCAATCCTATCCGGCAGTTATGTACAGCTTTTATGCGTTATGGTAAATTTTACCAAGGGCTCCACATTTGGCTAGGACCCCTGGTCACAGACCATATAGCCCTTTCCATTACACCTGACCAGGTCATCACAGTCAATAAGTAATTACACAGCATGTTACAGTTGGAGTATAATGCATCTGGATATCACCATATTACAAATACAATGCCATGTGCACAGGCTGATAGAGACAGCTCCATTGTGAGTCCCTCCGGTGTTGTGTAAAGTTATTAAACTGGACGAATGCCAGTCTATACAGAGACCAGTGTCTGGATCCCTTTCAAACTCATTTCACTTAACAATTAACATGCACATTGCCCCTTCTCAATTCTTTTTATCTGCATCTTATCATCATTGTCTATAGCAGATGGCCAATTTAAATTTGGTTGATCAAATAAATCTCAGCAATGAAAATTGAATGCCAGTAATGGTGACCACGAAACTACCAGGTTGATATTAAAACCCAAATGGCTCACTGATGCTGTTAAGGAAAGGAAATCCCATGTCCTTACCCCATATGGCCAGACTCACAGCACAGCAGTTGACTCATAAATGTTCTTTTAAATTGCCTGAAACCATTCAATTGAACAGGTATCAGGACCACTACAAAATATATAACAAGAATAAAAACAGATGGAATGTTCAGCAATAATATAAGTAGGAGATTTTTTGAGATGGAAAATACACACCTTGCTCTGCAAATTCTTTCATCAACATTTTGGGATTGCTCTCAAATCACAGATGTCCCATGGTCTTGTCAAGTAATAGCCTAATATATACATTCTCATAAACTTATATCTGTCCACCAATATCCCAAAACTCTTGTATCACCATTCCTAGGTAAGTTCTGTCTTGTTGTCAGGATAGATCTACCAGACTTGATGGCACACGGGTGCTGTATACAGTTGTGAGGGAGTCACCGACATTAAAGTCTTCTTGCATTAGGTGAACATGCTGTTCACTACTCTTCCTCAGCTGATGAATTTGCACTCCTCCATATTGCACACCATTTAGAACAAGCACTGTATGTACTCTGGGAAGGTACTTCAATGTCTATCAGTAAAACCACTGCTAACTGGGCTGGCTAAGTTCTGAAGCATCTGTGATAGGCTTGGCCTGTGGTAGTGGTGAGAGAACCACATTGGGTAAAAACTAACTTAAACGCAAAAGCAAAAGCTACAGACACCGACAACATCCCGTATGTAGATTTGAGAACTTGAGTTCCAGAATGAGCCATAAATCTAGCCAAGCTGTTCCAGTACAGATACAACACTGGCAACTACTCGATAATCCAGAATACTTCCACTGGATTCTCCTATCCACCAAAAAAGTGCACAAATACCATCCAACCAATTACCACCCCGGTAGTCTACTCTCAGTTATATGCAAAATCATGGAAGATGTTGTTGACAATACTGTCAGCCAGCACATACTCAGTAATGACCTGCTCACCTAGGCTTAGTTTGGGTTCTATGCTCCAGAACTTACTACAGCCTTGGACCAAGCGTGAACTAAAGAGGTGATTGCCAGTGGTGATAATGAGAGTGATTGCTTTTGATATCAATCCAGCATTTGCAAGAATGTGGCACCAAGGAACCCTGTCAAAATTGAAGTCAATGGAAATCAGTTGAAAAATTCCTTATTCGCTCGAATCATGATGAGCATAAAGAAAGATAGTTGTGTTTTTTGGAGGTTAATCACCTCTGCCGCAGGAGATATTTACTGGAGTTCCTTGGCTAGTGGCCTAAATTCAGCATCTTCAGCTACTTCATAATGGCCTTCACTCCATGTAAGACCAAAAGTAGGAGCGTTCATGATTGATTTCTCAGTTTGCAATTTTCAGTTCCACTTGTAACTCCTCAGAAACTGAAGCAGCAAGAGCTATGTAACATTAATATCTCCCTTTGACATTCAATAGCATTGCCGTAATCAAAGTTCCCTCAATCAATATTCTGCATGCCAATAACTGACCACAGCATTAACAGCTACATAAATAATTACAAGTCCTGAGGGTGAGCAAGTGACTCAAATCATGGATAGTAGGAACTGCAG